GAGAACCAGTTCATTGAGCTCTCGACGTCGACGCCGTCGCGCGCCAACTTTTTCGGTATGGGCGAGCACGTTGGGTCACTCCTTGCGCCGACCGACGGCGACCACTACACGATCTTTGCCCGCGACCAGGTCGCCAACATGTACCACGCGCACACTAAGGTGGGCAGCGACAACGTCTACGGCGTGCACCCGTTTTACATTCGCCGCGAAGCCTCGGGCAACACGCACGGCGTCTTCCTCGTCAACTCGAACGCGATGGAGGTCGTTGCGCAAAACCATTCGCTCACCTTTCGCACGGTCGGTGGCGTCTTGGACCTGTTCGTGTTCCTCGGGCCCGCGCCGTCGCACGTTGTGCAGCAGTACACGAAGCTCGTCGGTCGCCCGGCGCTGCCGCCGTACTGGTCGCTCGGCTACCACCTCTGCCGCTGGCACAATCACGAACTCTCGGACGTCACGTCCGTCGTATCCCGCATGCGCGCTGCCGGCGTGCCCCAGGACGGTCAGTGGACCGACATTGACGTCATGGACAAGTGGCTCGACTTTACGTGGGACCCGGTGCACTTTCCGCAAGCCAACTTTTCCGCGTTCATCGACGACCTCCACGCCCACGGCCAGCACTACGTGCCGATCGTGGACGCTGGCATTAGCAACCAGTACGACGACTATGTGAGCTACGACGAGGGCTTGGCGATGGACGTGTACATGAAGGACCCGGCCAACGTGGGCATTGAAGAGAACAAGGTGTGGCCCGGCATGGTCGCGTTCCCCGACTTTTTCCACCCGAACGCGTCGGCGTACTGGCACAAGCAGCTCGAGCGCTACTACGCGACTGCGCAGTACGACGGCATCTGGCTCGACATGAACGAACCGAGCAGCTTTTGCGTCGAGGGCGGCCGCGAGTCGCGCACGTGCATGTTCAACGACAGCTTCATTCCGGCCACGTTTGTCAAGTCGGCCGACGTCCAGGCGCCGTTCGACCCGTACCGCCAGTCGTACGTGCCGGGCCAAAAGGTGCTTGGGAACCTCGCGACGCAGACGGCCGCGCTGGGCTCGCACCACTACAACTCGATCCACTACAACGTCCACTCGCTGTATGGCCACTCGGAGATCATGGCCACGCGCTCGGCGATCGACCAGATCCGCGGCAAGCGCTCGTTCATCCTCGCGCGGTCGACCTTTGCCGGCGACGGCCAGTACACGGCGCACTGGCTTGGCGACAACGGCGCGACGTGGCCCGACATGAAGTACTCGATTGCCGGTGTCCTGGCCATGAACATGTTTGGCATGCCCATGGTCGGCCCGGACGTGTGCGGCTTTTCCTTTGACACGACCAAGGAGCTCTGCGTGCGCTGGCACCAGACCGCGGTCCTCTTCCCGTTCATGCGCAACCACAACGAAGCCACCATCGACCAAGCGCCGGTCGACTTTGACGACGAAGCGCTCACCATCATCCGCGCCACGCTCTTCAAGCGCTACGCGCTCCTCCCGTATTTGTACACGCAGCTGTACCATGCGTCGGCGGACGGCGTGACGGCGGCGCGGTCGCTCTACTTTGAGTTCCCGGACGACCTCGCGACGTTGGCCATTGACACGCAGTACTTGCTGGGCTCGGCGCTCATGGTCGCGCCCGTGCTGGAAGAGAAGGCGTCGCGTGTGACGGCCTACTTCCCCAAGGCCACCTGGTTTGACCTCTGGAACGGCGAGCACGTCGACACGAGCGCGTCGGCCAACTTGGTGTTGGACGCGCCCTTGGACACTGTGCCCATGTTTATCAAGGGCGGCTCGATCGTGACGCTCCAGGAGCCGAGCACGACGACGGCCGCCAGTCGCAAGAACCCGTTTGCGCTCAAGATTGCGTTTGGTGAACCGACCAACGGCAGCCACGTGGAAGCGAGTGGCGATCTCTATATGGACGCGGGCGACTCGCTCAACCCGCTCACGACCAAGGCGTTCTCGCTCATGACGTATGCGGCCAAGCACTTTCCCACTGGCCTCCTCGAGGTCACCGGCACGGTCGCGGCGAGTGGCTTTACCGGCCCCGAGACGGCGGTGCCGCTCGCGACGATTGAAGTCTACGGCGCCCGCGGCATTGCGGCCAACGCTGAGCTGACGGTCGAGTACACCAAGGGCTCGACCAAGCGCGTCACCAACGCGACGTACAACGCGACGAGCAACGTGGTGACGATCGCGCACCTCAACCTCGAGGTCGGCGCGGCGTTTTCGCTGCAGATGTTTGCCAAGCCGGCGACCATCGGCGGCGCGACGACCGCGCCCGTGATCGTGCAGGTCCAGGCGGGCAGCGCGGGCGCGGACGAGGTTGCCAGCGGCGTCTCGTGGTGGATCATTGGCGGCGCGATTGCTGTCGGCCTTCTCCTCGTCGCGGCGCTCGCGCAGTGCTACCGCCGCCAGGGCTACAACGCGGTCGCCTAAGGTGCTAAAGTTGTTCAACTAATTCAGCCACGTTTCTATTGTGAGTGTGTTGGCAACCTTGTCGAAGGACAGCTCGAGTCTGCCCTAGCAAGGCCCTGGACTGCACGGGTTCTTGACCCAGGAGTGCAGTGTAGGAAGCAGAGTTGTTGCTTGGGATCGCCTGTCGACGCTTCCAGCAGCCGGCTCTTCGCTCTCGCGCTGCCACGTCGAAAGATTTGAATTTTGGCGGTTATATCCGGATGACCCACGCCGCCGTGGCTTATCCGGATTTCCACGGCCGTTTGAGTTGAGCCTCGCTGTAGTCGCGATGCATCATCTTGTCTGAGGTCGTAGAGACGTACGTGGTCGTTCCAAGGACGTCTGCCGCTGTATCGTGTGAGGAACCAGTTGAAGATAGGGAGTGCCTTTGTTTAACGTCCGTTTCCACAACGAAATTGCCCTGTGGGGGAAGAAAAACGCGTTAAACGTCCGGCCTCAAAGATTCGTCGCGCAATAATTTCGAAACTCGACGCACCACTTGTCGTTTAATGTCGAGAAGAAGCGTTTTACTTGGTGTTTGTATGTATTTAAAAGAGTGGCGGCATTACAATTCAAACTCAACACAAGGAGCACTGATTGGCCACGGCTTTTTCGTGGGTTCGGTTTGAGTTTTGAGAGTCAGTTTTCTTTTTCTCAAAACTTGTGGTGTTGAGTTGACTTGGGACCGGAATGAGCACGACCAGCCTCCTGCAAGCCCCGACGCAAGCGCTCGTGGACCTCTCGCTGCCAATGGGTACCAACAAGAACTCGCTCGACATTGCGTCCGGCGGCGCCGTCCTCCGCAAGTCCTTCAACGCCTGGGACGACGTGCTCCTTTGCCGCGCGGTCAACGCCCGCAAGCCATGGACGGCCCCGAGCGGCGAGATCATGCTCTACTGGGCCGAGATCGCCGACACGCTCATGCGCACGCGCGGCTTTGGCGTCAAGAAGGACGGCCCGGCCTGCAAGACGCGGTTTGAGAAGATCTTGCGCATGACGATCGGCGGCGAAAAGGAGATGCTGCGCAAGACGGGCACGGACGACGAGTACGACGAGCGCGAGCGTCTTTTGCGCAACATGTACGAGCAGATCGACCAGTACCGCGACGGCCGCGACGGCGACGTCTCGCACAAGGTGCTCGGAGACCTGCACGAAGACGCCGAGTCGCTCGAGAACAAGCGCAAGCGCAAAGGAAAGGCGCTGGCCCGCATCATCTCGAAGCGCGAGCGGCTCATGGACTCGATCACGGGCAGCGCAATTGCATCGACGCCGCCGACGCGCGACGAGTTCAAGTCCATCTTTGAGTACCTCCAGCGGCGCATGGAGATTGACGACGCACGCGAAGAGCGCCGCATGCTCGCCGAGAAGGAGATGGAGGAGCGACGAACGGCGGCCGAAGAGCGCCGCATGGCGTCCGAGCTCGAGCGCGACCGCCAACAGCAAGAGTTCATGGTCAAGGTGCTCAACATCATGCAGAGCAAGTGAGATGTTGCAGTGAGCCGATCCAATAGCAGTAATAGATGGTCGTCGTGTGTGTTGAGTCGAAAGGAATTGCAAGTCGAGTGCATATACACGTATGGCCTCTACCTCGACCATTGCCAGCCACGGCCAAGGCAGCGCCAAGGGCGAGAGGCCATCGAGGACCGGCGAGGCCGCGACCGAATGTTGGCGTTGGGACAGTGTCGACGAGCTAGTTTATTTTAGCCAATCCGATTCGCGAACGGCGAGTTAACCACAAATATTCCATGTATTTTAGCCAATCCGATGGCAGGTGGACTGGCACCAGTCTTTTCAGGTGCCAGTTTGCATTTGACGTTGGAGTCCACAGTAGTCTAGCGAGTAGTACCGTCGAGGTAGAAGAGACGATCGATCGATCGATATTGCGCCACACAGAAGCGTGTTTCCCGCCTTATCCATGGGGAAATGGCTTTTTCGGCCGCTACAGACACACCCTTGCCTGCTTTCATCTGCGCTGCAATCTCACAGCGCTAGTGCAACAATTGCGAGGGGACATTTCAAACGACATGACAATTTCGAGTAGTCCATCGAAGCATAGAATACTACTTAGCCTCGCAATTATTACCCGTCAAGTGCTGTGTAAGCACTGGGGTGCAGCCGAATGCTCTGCCGTGCCGCCGATTCCTCGCAGAACAACGACAATGCGAGCACCACATACTAGCACCACCTGGAACCACGAACACAAAACTATAAAGGGCAGGGTCGCTTGTCCTGTCGCCATGGCAAACCATCGCAATGAGAGGAGCGCCAGTCGAACGCATCTCAGCAGACAATGATGGACGCAGAAACGCACAGAACGCCCAGCATATTGAGGAGAAGAACAGAGTAGACAGAATTGCTTCATCCATGAGTATACCTCTACGAGCAATTGAGTGCGTTTGTGCATGGAGCTTGGCATGCTGCAACGGCCGCTGGCGGACGTACAGGGCGCGTGTGTCAATACACGCACCCATTGTGGTGCGTCAAACAGGCAAATATACAAATATAGGTGCTCTTTTTGGAAACGGCTTGGGATCCGCACCAGTCCTTTTTTGTTTGGACGGTCGTAGCAAGCATGTCGACCGCGGGGATGCGCTTCTGCAAGGAATGGTACGATGGTCTGCGGATGCGGCGGAGGGCTCATGGGCGACGTGTGTAGCAACAACATGTTGTACCCTAGCCAAGACCGCGAGCTCAAGCGGCTCACGTTCACGTGCCGCAACTGCGGGCACAACGAAGAGGTGCCCGAGTCGTGCATCTACGCCAACGAGCTCGTCAAGGACTCGCGCGTCCAGCTCGATGTGCTGCCGGAAGACATCATTGACGATCCGACCCTCCAGCGCGACTACGACGTTGCGTGCCCCGAGTGCGGCGGCCAAGGCGCGGCGTTTATCCGATCGCATGACGGCGTGAAGCAGTCGACGCTGGCGCTCATTTGGATTTGCCTCAACCGCGACTGCCAGCTCGACGAGCATGGCAACCGACTGCCCACGCACCGATGGATGGATTAGTACGTATCGTCTTGCAACACGAGTTTGTCCTTTCCTCCCCCTGTCCTTGTTCATACCGCGATGGTGTGAATACCACACGAAGACGACTACAATAAACTGTGAATGGTAGCAACGACTCCATGCACACTCTATTTGCATTACACGGTTGGGAGCAAATGCAGGCCCATGGCGCGTCTCTCGTGATCGAGCGTAAGAGCAGCTCCATAGTCGAGAAATTGCTGGAAGGCGGCCCACTTGGCCGCTTCCGGGATCGCGTCCGCGTGCGGGCCAAAGCTCAAGAGTGCATCGCGCCACGTCTTGCGCGACTGCGCCTTGACGTACGGGCCGTTATAGCCAAGGACACGGAGGCGTGTTTTGTCAAGGCCGACGCGGTCCAGCGTAAACCTAGTACAAGTGCGCATCTCTCTAGTACGTCATCCAAGGATGAGTACCACAAGAGGCGCGGACGCCACGCGGTTGGATCGTCGTCCGTTTGGCAGACGTTGCCACCAACAAAGACGATGCGGTCGGGGGTAACAAACTCGCGCATGACAAAGTAGCTGACTTCTTCCGGGGCGTCGACGCGCTGGAAGTGCATGTTGGGGTCGATGCTTGCAACCAACTAAGAGACGCGTTCCATCGACTCTTCAAGTACGAGTAACAGCGTACCGCTGGGTCAAGAACCGTGACGGGGATATGGCTCCACGGCGCCTTCCACGAGGCCCAGATATTTGGGCGAACGCACGCATGCGTTTCGTCCAGCGGCAGCGCAATGTCGATCTGCAGGCGCACGGCGATATCGAGCAAGTCGTTGCCGTGATCAATCTCGACGTGGTCCATCACGGGCAAGGACGACGATGGAAAGAACGTCCGCGCTAGCATCCGGTCCGTATTGTGAAAGAGGCGCTGGGTGAACCAGTCCAAGCCCGTGCGCCGCGCGGTCGGATCGATCGGTAGCCAGACTTGCTGCCATGTGAACGGCTCGCTTGCTTCCTACGATCCAAATTGTACCAAAAGTGCAAACTGGGAAAGGACATACGGGCATGTTGTTTTGGCGATCGGCCGAGCTACCCAGGAGGCCAAGCCGTGCACCAGCAGAACGAGTCGGTCGACTTGTTGTCGGAGCCTCATGTTGATGCTCGTCGCGTCGTCGACAGTGTCGGCTAGAGCCGACGCTACTTGCTGCCACAGCAAGGCCGTGCCAGCATGGAGCTTGTAGTTTGCAAGAAAATGCTCCAAGATGTAGAGCTGGTTCTCAAGGTCTTTTTGCTCGTCGAGATCTCGGGCGCGGCGCCGCTGCTGCTTGAGGCGACGCCGCGTTCTGAGGTGCTCGACCTTGTCGGCCGTCGTCATTAGCACACTGCTGAGTCACGTGTGTTCATCGGGCGATGAAATGCTTGAAGCTGTTGAAAGAGCAAACATTCTGTGGGTTCCTGGCCTGTCCTGTCAGCTTGTCCTGTCCTGAGGACATTTTGGGTGACACAGCTGTCGTTGTGCATTTGCAAGCCAAGGTAAATCGAACGTTTACTCGAATGTAAATATGTACAAATGTAATAGCTATGGGCCGTCGCTGGGTTTGTTACCATCGAGATTATCGAGTGTCTTGCTGCATTCTGCAGTGCAAGGCCCTTGACTCGGCCTGGCCAAAGGTGTGGGGGCGGTGATAGGGAGGCCTACGCCTTGCCATGGAAACGCTTCCTAGCCAAATTAACATTGGGTAAAGTGCACTATGAGAAAGTTCAACGCTTACTGGGGCACTAATGCCGTGGTCGATCGCTGCCGTCCTGGACGCCAACGAGTGCGCCAGCCGCGAGAGATGGTCGACTTGTTGTCGGAGCAGGATGTTGACCGTCGTCGCGTCGTCAACAGCGTCCTGAAGAGCAGACGCCACTTGCTGCCACGGCAAGATCGTGTCCGCATGCGCCTTGTGGTTTGCAATAAAATTTTGGAGCACGTAGAGCTGCTTCTCAAGGTCCTTTTGCTCATCAAGATCGCGAGCGCGGCGCCGCTGCTGCTTGAGCCGGCGACGTTCTCGAAGCTGCTCATCTCTGTCGGTGGTCTCCATTTGTCAATTGCTTTTCGGCACAAACTCGGCGACGAATTGCGTGTCCA